CAGTATATATTTGTCATTCAATGAGTGGTGCTCTGTCTGCCTGAAAAGAAATTATTACATTTCATTTTCTGGAAAATGCTTGTCAATAATCAAACGGTGATGATAAATCATTTCACATATCTTTTTTATAAAACTAATTTTCCCCAGCTCACATTGGGCTATAAAATTAGAATTATTACTCACTGCACACACAGTATTATTCTTAAACATGTTCTGTGACTAATACAATTTTAATCATGTGTCCTGTGTCGAACTGCCATAATAATTTATTATAAATGACCTTGCAGACATAATATTAAATTCTGCTCGTGGATGGTTTACTTGCCATTTAGTGCCTCAGACTCTTGTAACAGAGCAGTATTTTGTTCCCTTTTGTGTCTCCCTCAGTCACAGCCGGGCTGAGGAAGCACAGTGGATCTAAATGCTTTATTAAATAAAACAAAAGCAAGAACACACCAGGCAATGAACAAACTAAAGAGATGGATATATTTCCTGAGAGAACTAATGATGAAAATAAGGTATTAAGCAAGATCATTTCTAGGAAAACTAGGCTCCAGGACAGCCAACAATGGTGTCACGTTCTCTTTTTGTTTCAGTTTAATTTTCAAGAAACAAAGAGAATGTGAGGTTACACTTTACTTGAAGGGGTGTGCATAAGACTGACATGACACCTTCATAATCATGACATGACACCTACATAATCATGGCATGACACATGTCATGAATATGAAGGTTTTTTATGCATGTTTATAACAACTGTCATTAAGTGTCATTCGCTTAGTTATGTCATTTTTAATACAAAGATGACATTGCTTGAGATGTCTTTGTTATGGGCTATAGTTAGGGGTAAGGGTAGGGGTAGGGTTAGGTCAAATAATGTCATATTTGCATTAAAAATGACATAACTGAGCAAATGACACTTAATGACAGTTGTCATAAACGCGCATAACAACTCCTTCACATTCATGACATGTGTCATGTCATGATTATGAAGGTGTCATGTCAGTCTTATGCACACCCCTTCAAGTAAAGTGTTACCGAATGTGACACTCTTGTCGGCCCCTCCTCAACTGAAGAATCCTTAAGCAACTGCCTATAGTTTTCCTATAAATGTCCTTGCTTAAAACCTTATTTGATGTTTTTCTCGTTCCTCACAACTCAGCATTGTTTCTCATAACAGATAGAAACTTTTTACAGATGAAACATGAAGTCAGAGAGACGATCACAACTATGTAAGGTTTGTACAGTATATGTTTTTTTATGCATTTTGGGGAATTTTATTTATAAGAAAAGAGGGATGTTTAAATGAGAATTGTGTTTATGGCCTTTAGCCTCATATAGAAGAAAACTAATTCTGTAAACAAAAACTACATTAGACTGCAACTAAATTGCAAAAACTTGCTTCAGTTTTAAGCAAGCAAAAACATATAACTGTACATTTTTATCACTGATGGAGTTTGGGTTCCTTGCCACTGTTGCCTCTAACTTGCCTAGTTAGGGACATTTAATATTCTGCCGTATTATTGATATGAATGTGCTGAGAAGTGAACTGAGATTAACAGTCCAAGTAATATATTTAAAATACATTTATTTCATTATAGTTCAAATACATTAACGTATTTACTGACATATCACTAAAGACTTAATGATTTAAAAATTATAATTAAACCTTATTTGGAATATTTCTTGTGTTTTAAAAAAAAAATGTGTTTTAATGTCACTATTGATGAGGATTGTATGATCTTTGAATAATATCAGTCTTTAAATGCAAGATATTTGAAGTGTACCTGAAGTAGTTCCTCTTCAGCACAATCGAATTCAATATAACTTTATTTGGACTTCAGCATACTTCTGCACAATTAAAGTGCATTAAGTACAAAATTGGTAACTGCAATTGAGCAGACTTTAGGGATACGAGTTTAGTATACCAAAAGTACAATTGCGAGAACTTTTAATTAAGTACATAAATATGTAAATATATTTGTAGTATACTTGGCATGAAATAAATGTTTTTCAAATACATTTTAGTATATTTCATTTTCACTACGGATGACATCTCTGTTTTCTCCAGAGCTGCTTTATAGATGAATTGGACTCATTTCATCATTGATGAACTTTACACAATCACTGAACTGAACTGACTTCAGCTAAACAATGACACTGTTGTCTTTATTAGAGTGGCTTTACAGCAGAATTTGTCTCATATTTGCATCAGTGAATAAATATTTTCATGTTTGAAATGAACCTGTTCACAATGAACGTGTACGTCAGGTTTTAGGTGGAAAGGACTTTTGTACAGGATATGCATCATCACTCAAGAATCACTGAAATGCTTTCTCAATGATCTGCTGTAACTTCTTGAGTTACTCTCTACTGTTTTATATGATCTTAAACACTACTGAAACAAAGAGTTTGTGCAATTCTGACATGGTTAACACAGTAGATCTACAAGCCACACCATTTAAATGTCATTTTAAAGGGGTCATCGGATGCTACATGCACTTTTACAAATTGTCTGAACTGAAATGTGTGTTGGCAGTGTGTGTACACAACCACCCTATAATGATAAAAATCCACCAAGTGTTTTTAAAAAAAAAATCTGGTTAAATGTTCTCCCCTTTCTCAAATCGAGCCTCTCCCACGATAGTTTGATTGACAGTAGCGTTTCAGCACAGACTGGACTGGCGTCTTACCTTAGACCCGCCCTGAGTGAGCTGTCATCAGTCCGCCATTGTTTCACCACCGGAGCAGATGTAGAGGAGAATGACTTCTAAGTGATTGAGGTGTTCTGTTGTTGGATGTAATAATGAACATAGCAGTCGTCATTTACTCCCGACATCTGAGCCGCTGAAGACGCAGTGGATTACGTTTGTTTTTGAAGGGAATGTGCCCCCGATCTACATAAATGCGTCTATGTTCGCGCGAATCATTCGTGATCCAGCTTCACCTACAGAAGAAGTGAGTATAATGTTTTTTAATGAATCTTTGAAAAACTCCTTTCCTAATAATGTGCTAATTAGCAAGTTTCACAATGAATGCGGCTAAAGTAAACAGTCTTTCTGAGAGCGGCTCGGAAGAGAGGGGCGGGGTCAGCAGAGCTCATTAACAGTTAAAGGAAAATGCTATAAAACGGCGTGCTCTGAATGTTTTATACTACCATTGAGAAATTTTAACCAAACTATGTTACAGACTTTTCATTAAGACCCCAAAGAATCATATCAACTTGTGGAAAATGGGCGTCCGATGACCCCTTTAAGGGGTATGACTGGCATTTGAATAAACAGGCTTCATTTACTCCATCATCATCATCATCATCATCATCATCATCACTCCGAAAAGTGAACCAACGTCACATAATTTCTCATTCCATGTCAATCACAATGGCAACATTGTATGCAAATTAATTAGTTGCTATATTTCATTTTTAATTAGTACACATTCATACTGATTATATTCATACAGCTCCAAAAATCTACATATTTTTATAGGCCTATTTTAAATAAGTTTAAATAGGAATGTTGGGTGTTTTCCATTTGCAAGAAGGCAAAAACAGCAGCCGTTTTTAATAAGTCTGCCAAAGTTAAACCCAGTTATGGGCTTCTGAAAACCAGAAATATTGTGAAACTGTTTCTCTCAGTGTATAATCTTTTCTCAGATTATTTATTTATTGTTTTGAAGGCATTCCTGTTTCCATCGAGTGTGCTCATCGTCCTGCTTTATCTGGGCGTTCAAAGCACTGAGAGGGATGTGAAACCTGGTGCCCTTGCTAATATCTCCAAGTATTTTGTTGACAAGTAAGTGTACTGTATTTGTACAATTTAGTAAATTAAAATCAACATATTAAATTGGTAAAATGCATGTTCAAATTGTTGCATGATGGAAAGTTGCATTCTTAGTTTCTTAAATTGTGATAATGTTAAATTGTGAAAATTTTATCTCTGCAGTGTCCAGCCAAAAACCAAAATGCAAATAGATGCTCAGTATGCAATAGCAATCTCTGTTCAACGTGCTCAGTGTACAGACGTACATGCTGATATCCAGAATGTGTTCAGCAATAAAGATGCAAAACATGTAAAAGATGAGCTCAGTAAAGGACAGAAATGTTTACTCTGCACAGACTCACGCAACGTCATTGCTGCAAGGCCAAATCGTACCACAAAGGAACATTCTGAGCATGTTCTGCTCTATCCTTTAGGTGAATCTCCCATGGACAAACTTCTAGAGCAGGCAGATCAGAATAGCTGTGTAGTTTTCTATTCTTACAACTCACCTTGTGTGAAAAAATGCATTCGTGGGGAAGACAATATTTTGAATGGTCTTTCAAACTGGATAAACACAAGAAAAAATGGAATGAATGCATTTGTCTTCAACGAGATCTGGCAGAAGGACAAAAAGAAGAATCTGGCAGAAGAATTTCTAAAGATTAATGCGGTAGTGCCTCTTTATCGGTGTAAGATAACCAGTGATGGAATGGAATGTTGGAAATGTGTGGAAAATAACAATGTGGATACTTTCTGTCTGCTTGAAAATAAATAAGCAATTTTCCTTTTCTAGAAAATGCTTATGTCAGTGATCAAAGGGTGGCATTTTAACAAATCTTTCTTTAAACGCCCAGCACACAATGGGCTATTAAAATACATCTCTGATGTATCATTCTTGAACACCTGTTCTATGCCTAATAAAATTAATTATGTATCCCTTGTGGAACCACCATAATATACACTGCATAATGTATGTAAACTTTGGAAACAACAATAAATTCTGCTCATACATTCGCTCTTGATTATTTCACACAATATTCTTTGACCAAACAACATCTGATTTGCTGCCACTAATCTGGTAAACCAGATTTTAGTTTTTCCTTAAGAGCAACATTGTATTAATCTCCACCATAAGTACAGTAGTTCACTCAGTTATGTTATAATGCTTTACAAATGCCCAGCGTTCAACACGTAGCAAAACATATCTGGTGCTGCTACTCTGCTCGTTTTTTCACACATTTGAACTTCCAAAGCAAACATTGAGTGTGATTGAACACTTGTAGCATGTGGCTCATCCTGTGGCCTCACTAGTGATTGGTAAAATAATTGTGAGATCATTCACATATACCAAACTGAGTGTCAACACAAAGCAACACACAAATGCTGCTTGCACAAGGCCAAACAGATCATGTTGAGTGTCTCAAGAAAGTAACTGCTCATACATGAACTCTATGTCTGTAAATACACTAGATAGTCGTCTAATCGATTTTAAAGGATGTTATCATTCTAGTGAACTTTGGAACACATGTTAGGTTGCAGCAACAATGTCAAATCAATTTATAATTCTACAAAGTACTTTAAGTTTTCAATAGCATATAAATTACTATAATAATAATCCAGTATCCACTCATTATATCATATAATCTTAGACATTTTATTGTCTTAAATCGTGCTGTCACATGATATGTGGTTTTTGGTTCTGGATAAATTCCCATGACCTCAGAAAAGGCTAATCTGAAAATCTCTAAAAACCTTGCTGCACCTTGATTACAGTTCATGCCTTATGGTAAGTAGCTTGAATTCATTTACAGTAGCTTCCATTCAGCTCCATTCAACAAGATTATTCTCACATTCACAGCAGCTTATGAACAATTCTACAGATTTGCTTCACATTAAAGGGGTCATATGATGCGATTTCTATTATTCCTTTTCTTTACTGTGTTATGTAGCTATTTGTACATGTATAAGATCTGCAGAGTTACAAAGCTCAAAGTCTCCCACAAAAGGATTTATTCTATCTAAAAGAGAAGGCTGATCCAGACCAGGCTAAAACACCTCATTCAAACACGCCCCCACATGTCTACGTCACGATGTGGAAATATTTGCGTAATGCCGCCCAATTGTTCATGTAAAGAAAGAAGGCGTGGTTTCAGGAACGCAGTAGTGTTGATGCAGCCATGTCAGGGAGACACTGTGTGTTTCAGTGCGAAAGCAAAAGCACTTTATTTGGCCTTCCGGAAGTAGATGCAATTAGGAATCACTGGTTAAGATTTATTTACAACAGAACAGCACAACCCAGATGTTCGAATTTGTGCAACGCATTTCATGGACGACAGTTTTGTGCACCTAGGAGAGTAGTCTACAAGGCTGGCTGTGCAAATACTATTTCTAAAAAAAAATGGGCCAATTCCGTATTTGCTATGACAATCTGGCACTTATTCTGAATCAGCGACTGTAAGTACGTTTTCTTAATAGTTTAAGTATTTGCTATTGACTGTTCAAATGAGTTTTGCGCCATGTAGAGTATCACGTCGTGTGTGTGTGTGTGTGTGTGTGTGCATGAGAGAGAGACAGGGTCACATCACAGTGGAGTCAGCTTTCTTAATCGCGGCTTGTGTACTGCAAATACATACGAGCATCATCACTGTGTCTCTCACGCGACTGTTCCCCTTTCGGGCTTGAGCTGATGGTAAAACTAAGGACATTATTTACTTTCTTTACATTTATGTTGAAAGCTGAAGCTCGCGATTATGGAAAGGGGGTGATACATTTCCGAAGCGTGCTTGTGGTGTTCGGCCAATCACAATGCACTGGGTCAGCTGGCCAATCAGAGCAGACTGTGCTTGTCAAAGGAGGGGGCTTTGTTGAAAACGACGCATTTGAGAGAGGCGGGGCATAGATGAACTACATTAATGTACAGTATTTGAAAAATAATGTGTTTTTTTAACATTAAAGCATGTCAACATATTCTGTTACACCAAATACACAAAATAATGATCTTTAAAATAGCATCATATGACCCCTTTATGAAATGCATCAGACATTTACAGATACTGAGCTACAGTGGGGAAAATATTTATTTGATCCCCTGCTGATTTTGTAAGTTTGCCCACTTACAAAGAAATGAAGGGACTGTAATTTTTATGGTAGGTTTATTTTAACTGATAGACACAGAATATCAACCAAAAATCCAGAAAAAACACATTATATAAAGGTTAGAAATTGATTTGCATTTCAGAGAGTGAAATGAGTATTTGATCCCCTACCAACCAAGAATTCTGGTTCCCACAGAAAGCAAGAAGCTTGGTGAGAAGACAACTGTTGGTGCGATTATTCGGAAATGGAAGAAATACAAAATAACCATCAATTGGCCTTGGTCTGGAGCTCCGTGCAAGATCTCGCCTCATGGGGTTAGGACGATCATGAGAAAGGTGAGGGATCAGCACAGAACTACACGGGAGGAGCTTGTTAATGATCTGAAGGCAGTTGGGAACACAGTCACCAAGCAAAACATTGGTAACACACTACGCTGCATTGGACTGAAATGCTGCAGCGCCCGCAAGGTTTCCCTGCTCAAGAAGGCACATGTACAGGCCTGTTTAAAGTTTGCCAAAGAACATCTAAATGATTCAGAATGATTCAAGGCTTGGGAGAAAGTGCTGTGGTCAGATGAGAGCAAAATTGAGCTCTTTGGCTTTACTGCCAAGGCAACAAAGAAGTGGCTCAAGAAAAAGCACATTAAGGTCATGGAGGGGCCTAGCCAGTCTCCAGACCTCAATCCTATAGAAAATCTGTGGAGGGAGCTAAAACTTCAAGTTGCCAAACAACAGCCAAGAAACCTTAAGGATTTAGAGAGAATCTGTAAAGAGGAGTGGATGAGATGTGTGCAAACCTGGTGACCAACTACAAAAAAAACCAACAAGATGTTAATTATTTTCATGAAAATACATGGTAAATTCACTCACCTTGCAATAAATGCCTCCCACGAAGCGTCAGTAACGTAACGTATCTGTCTGAAGTATTCCCTCCACACTTTCAAATTTCCTGACCCTGCCTCTGCTTCAATCTCATTGGTTGAGTCTGTAAACCAATCATTTTCCTTTCTGCCCTCAGAACATGTTTGAGTAAGTAAAACTCCCATCTGCGCTGAGCGCACCTGTTTTCTCTGATGAAGCAAGGATGCCATTTTCTATTTCTTTCTGTTTTGTTTGTGTATTTGTTTTGTGCATGTGTCTGTTTGTGTGTGGTGTGTTTGGTGCAGGTTCATAAGAGCTTCATGATTATTAGTACATAAAATATTTTTAAAGGGACACCATGTAACTTTTGGAGAACTGTGTCAAGCACAGTGAAAGCCTTTGTCTTTAAGGATATCTTCTGGGCTGAGAAAAATCCAGAACATCTTCAAAAGAACTTCAAGAAGATTGTGGCTCCACTGTATGCGAGTGTGAATGATTGTAAAGGAGTAGGCAAAATCCCCTAATTATCTTTACATTTATATTGAAGCTATCACAATAATTTATCAATTAATTTAAACTTATATTATAAAACATATATTAATGTGTTTGGACGCTATTTAAGGACACACTAGTGTAAGCTGTGTCAGTGCGTGTAAACGATATTCGTAGCATGATGAATTTAATAATCAACAAGTAGGCTACTACTGTTTGTTTTCAAATCTTGAGACAAGTAAGTTTAATGTGTCATTAAAAAAGATTGCACTACTTGGCAGTGATTTTCTTCACATTGTTGGTGAATTGGCGTCCCCTACTGGGCAGTTATTTCTACATTATTTGGAAACCATGTACAATACATAATAAATATTATTTTCCGTGCATCTACAATAAGATTATTGTATTACTACTACTACACTGCACTGTTGAACGTATACATTATTTTCTATTTTCTATCTACAGTACTGGTCAAAAGTTTGGACACATTATTATTTTTAATGTTTTTGAAAGACGTCTCGTATGCTCATCATATGTAGGCTTTTTTTTTTTTTTGAAGCCTAGAAACAAAATTGTAAATGTGTTAGTTTAATAATTACAGTTCATAAATATTAATCACCAACACTGTAAAATTGATAAGATCAGTAAATTATGAAAACATATGTTTTACTTTGACTCATCTAAATGCATTAAGCAAGATTCAACTAATTGTTTTAAGTCAGTTTAATTTAATATGAAATGACTTAAATAGCCAAGTTCATTGTACTTAAAAATTAAAGGCAGCAAATGTTTTATTTTTTATGAGTCATATATGTCATACATGGGATTTTTTTTTTTCTTTCACTTACTTCTCTTTCTCTTTCTCTCACAGTTTAATTTCACTTTGACAGGAAGACCAGAAGTCTTTAAATTCAAGCGAAATGAAACACATTTCCCCACTAGTGATTCAACCTCTGCAATAGAGCCACACTGCTGTTCTTTGGGGCAAAGCAAATCATATTTGAGTTGTATTTCTGTCAAGGTAGGAACTTAATACGATCCAAAAATATGACTTTATCATGTTGTCTGCTTTTAAAAAGAAATCGTTTACAATTATGTATTATGCATCTGTAATATTCCTGTAACTTGTAACGTGCCTGGGGGCCTCATTAATAACAGTTGCGTAGCCTACGCACAAAACCTGCCCTGACAGAGGCGTACGCCACTTCCTACGCAAAAGGTGGAATTTACAAAAAAAAAAAAAAAAAAAAAAAAAAATTAAAAAAAAAAAAAAAAAAAAAAAAAAAAATTTGCGCACCTGCACGCAAACTCTGACCCATGCGTACGAACTTTTTTTCCTGGAGAAAGAAAAGTAATGAAGTAAACACCGATTTTAAACTGTTTTCATTTCATCATATACATTTACATTAAATATTCCACTCTCATTAATAGAGATAAGCACTGAAATTATATAAAGTCAGTACGCAGAAGTTAAACCAGAATTATATGAATTTAGACATAGCCTATTTGTAGTGGATGCGCTTGATTACTTTTCCTGTGGTATGTTATGTTTTAATGACAGCGAGGTGTACTATAGGTGCACATATATTTATATGTTATGAGAAAATATTTTTAGCGAGAACAATGATCAATGATGCGATAATTTTTCGACATTGTGGCGGACACTTCTGGATTCGGTGGAACGGTCTATTGTCCGGTTTGAATGGGACCAATGATAATAGCTTGTACAACTTGCTGCACCGAGGTGTTGATGTCGTGTGAAGGCATCTCCACAACATTATGAAAAATGCCACTGTATTTGAAGGAAAGATTTGCACGTTTCCTTTTTAAAATAATTTGTCAATGAGTCAGAGTCAGATGATTGTTTTTACACTGCAATAAATATAGGTCTATATATTTCCGCTAAAAATAGCTAAAAGATGTTCACCTTATCAGCAAAACTGAATTAATTTAATTTGATAAAAAAAAAAACAATTGAAATATTATTGGGCCAGTGGAAATGAATGAGATCAACTCTATTCTAAATATTTTTTCTGAGAACTATTTTAAACAGTTTTTATGGATAGTTTCATATATTTATTCTAAAACATAACAAGGATACCGGATGATTTTTAGCAATAAAAATGAATGTGTATGGCACAAATGTCATTTATAGTCTGTATCTCATATTTCCTTAATGTCTTTTGACGGTGTTAAACATGGTGTCACGTGGATGGAAATGTGCATGGGAATGATATGCAGATGAGGTTATGCATAGTAAAACTAATCGTTGTAAGCTCCATATGGTGATTTCGGGGAGTCGTGGTGGAGATGCACGTACGCACAATCTTCCCCTGACTGTGGTTTATAAAGGGATTTTAGCGCAGGTTCTGACATACGCATGGTTTTATAAACCTGAAAACTTTTGAGCATACTCAAAATCTAGTTTTTGAGCTTACGTACACTTTTAGGATGAAATCTACGGAGAGTTTTAAAAATGAAAGCCCTCGACTGTGTTTTTCAAAAGCATGGTAAGCTAAGTTGATCGTAGAGTCAATGCTTTTGGGAAACCCATGAATGAACTGCTCCTATAAAAATCTTCCCGGTGTACTGAAATTTGTTATGACATCCACTTCAAACATTGCAATGCTAACTTTCTTTAACTCTACAATACCTAAATCCACTACAGCAGCTAAAAGGAAATCATTCATGTGACTGGAAAGAAAGCGAGGCTTCGTTTCCCGGTGAACATGTGATTCTCTGAAAACATGTGATTTTCAGCTCTTTATCAGCCACAATGGAAATCGAGTGAAAGTGAAACCCGTAAACAACTTCAACAATAATTTATCTTTGTACAGTGGCGGTTCTACATTGAATTACACCCTGGGCGAGACCCCCTTCAAGCGTCCCCCCCCCAATATGTTATTATAACAACATAAGTTATAGAGAAAATTATATTTCTCAATTGTACAAATCCTTCATTAGAACATTTGAAAAACACACTTAAGAGAATCCAGTTATTTAACTATTGCAATTACAACTGGAAAAACACTTTTTAAGGTGCACAATCTCCACCTCCAACATTGCCAAAAGACAATGAACACAATTCTGCACAAAATATGACACTATAAGTTATCAGAAATTAAATAAATATACACTATACACTGTATCTAATTTGCATATTAATGTGTTCTTGGAGCAAAATTTAATGAAAAAAGAAGTGTAATAATTGGAGTAATAATTGGCAACATTTTAATAATAATATCTAATATTTCATAGGAATATTGATGTATAATTTATTTCCATATTCACTTGTGTCTCCCAAAATGCCTGATAAACATGATTTAAGTCCTGATGTCCTCTACAGTGGACATGTATGAAATCAATGCCCTGTTCTGTAACAGAAAGTCATTTTTTGATTTGAAACCCCATAACGTTTTGACATAACGTCTGAGATGTTGGTTTATGAAATACAATTTGAAAAGTAGTCCGATTTAAATTATAATTACACAGATTTGAAAATTCCATTGGCTAATTACAGGCCCTAACGTTAACCCAGCTGATGGAAATAAATAATAACTGAACTTGTAACAGTTTTGTTGCAAAGCACAATATTATGGTGAAATTAGATCTCGTGTTTGTTGAGTTAAAACGGAATTATTGTTGTATAAGCATAGCAAGCATCATAGCAAAAAGGCTAAAAAACTTAAGAGTTATACCCACCAATTAACATTAGCCCTTCATTCATGACATGGATATCCTAATAATCATACAGAGAGAACATAGTTGCATACCTTTATCTTTTGCTCGTTTCTCCTCTTCTTCTTTTCTTTTTTTTCTAAATTGGGCACCTGATGGCTTTGACCTTTTCCTGTCCATCTCTGTGTTTATTTGGCACTCGACAATCAACAGATTTCCCATCCCCCCAACACTGTCACTCACGACCAGAAGTCAAGACTAAACCAATTCACCTTGGTGACCACATAATCGTTTTGTATTACCTATTTTTATTAGCCATTTCACACAATTCAGAAAAACTAAAATGTGCAGGAACTATAGGCCTGTATTTATAATATTATGAATGAAATGTGCGTTATTTGGAAGAAAGTCGAGGTGTGACTGACTTTAGCCCACTAATTCCATTAGAGTATTGCTCTATACAGTGGACCCCCCCCTTGTCCATTTCATTTGGGAGAGACCCAGAGGTGAACTGTCCCCCATGTCGCTCCCCTTTCCCCTTCTCACACAGCTTCTGTGCACGGCACCTTCTCAGCAAGCAGGGGCGCCAATTTGCCAATTCCCCACAGAGTGAAATGATAGATAATAGAAAACCGCTTCGCGGCGACGGCGCAGAGGATTTTTTTTTTAACTGCTCGTGCCGCTCCCCATGTATCATGAAAAAATGCTGCCCTGGGCGGCTGCCCGGTTCGCCCGTGCCAAAAAACTGCTACTGTCTTTGTAGATTCATGACATATTATAGATAAGCGGCAGCTCATTGAGTTCCCTTTCGATACTACACTCGCACTTCGTCTTTGCTAGACGCTATGGGAAAAAGTAATTTTTTCTCCTGAACTGAAGCCTTTTTCAATCACGCAGTGAAACTGCATGGCCATTGGTTCGTGCAGTATGTTTTAAAAACGAACCAATGGCTCGGCAGCGGTGCTGCACAAACCTATGGCAGCGAAGCCCACCAGAATGGGCGGAGTCATCTGACTATATAAGTGGCCGCTTCGCCATAGGATTCAGATTTCTTCTCCTTCAACAACGACGATGTTCTTCGCATCTCCGCTGACTGAAGAGCCTGTTCACCGTTGACATGCCTCGCAGTGGAACAACTCTGCCCGGCTGATTCAGCGCCTTTCGCCGCTTTCAGCGATGTGCAGCAGTAGTGTGGTTTCCCTGCCGCCATCCGGCGAGATAATAAAGAGCAAATTTCTACGGCGTTGTTTCAATTGCCGCGCCGTTACTGTGGTATGTGCAGGGCTCCCTCGCATGCCGATGACGGCCATCGTGAGTGCGTTTCCTGCTTGGGGAAATCCTACGTGGAATCCGCGCTCACCGAGACCAATTGTGCTCAACTGTGAGAGCATGAGTCTCGTGCGCTCGTGGATAGCTTTCTTTGCTGAAAGCAACCTCGCACCCCCCCCCCCCCCGTTTTCTTCCTCCCAGGAGCCTGTGAGGAAAAAACAGAAGGGCAGAGGATCTCAGCGCTCGGATGATCTGGTGTAATTCGGTGGGAGTGACGAGGAGCTGCTGGATGACAGCATGTCGCTGTCCCCTCGCCAGCGATCCTCTCCTTTTTTTCCGGAGGTCCACGACGAGCTCACCAGACTCACCATACTCTGCCCGCCTCCGTTGTGCTGCTTCATCCGCCCTCACCTCGGTCGACAGCGCTGAAGGCAAGGGGTATGAGAAGTTGCCTCCACTCGACGAGGCAGTGGCCGCGCATCTCTGCCCGCCCACTGCGATCGGCTGGAAGGCTAAGGCTGCCCATCCATCCAAGCCATGTAGGGTGACGTCAGCCCTCACTGGTGTGGGGAAACTTACTCATAGGCTGGGCAAGCGGCCTCGGCGCTCCACTCAATGGCCGTGATCCAGGTCTTCCAGTCAAAGCTCCTTGCCAGCACAGACGAGTCAAACCCGGACGCTCAGGGAGCTGAGGAGCGCGACAGACCTGGCTTTGCGAGCAACAAAGACCACGACTCAGGCTATTGGAGCGCCACCGATGGCTGACCCTGACCGAGATCAAGGACGCTGACAAGGTGCCATTCCTAGACGCCTCGGTCTCTCCCAACGGTCTGTTCGGGCCAGCGGTCGAGGGCTTCCCTGAGCGCTTCACTGAAGCACAGAAGTCATCCCAAGCCATGCGACACTTCCTACCCAAGCATTCCAGCTCTGCAGCTGCCTTGAGTCGCCCCAAGTCTGCACCGACTCAGCAGCCCGCGAAGCCTGCACCTGCGGCGGCCGCTGCCACCCAGAAAGCCTGAGCCTCGAAGACGTTCCCGCTCAGCCCAGCGCTACCCATTTCTGAAGCGCCTGGGCCCCCTGCCTAAGCTAGTGCTGGACCTGACGCCTCCGGCGTCATCCTGAGCAAAGGAGCAGGAAGAGGAGGGGGCCAAGTCTCGCTGCTGCCGGACCACCCCCCAAGCTGCCTCCCCAAGTCGCCTACTTTCACATCCAGATAGCCCCCCATCACAGGCTATTCGCCTTAGAGGGAGTGGCTTATCAATACACGGCCCTTCCCTTCGGGCTGTCGCTGGCTCCACGCACCTTTACGAAGTGCATAGATGCGGCTCTTTCCCTTACAGGCGGGAATCCGCATTCTCAACTACCTCGACGACTGGCTCATTCTGGCACAGTCGAAGGCGGAGTCACTATCTCACAAAGCCCTTCTCCTCAGCCATTTGGAATGCTCAGGGTAAACTTTGCCAAGAGCGCCAGCGAGTCTCATTCCTGGGAACCATATTCGACTCGGCTCAAATGAAAGCGAAGGTCACAAAATAGTGTGCCCTGAGCATACGGGCGGCTCGTGGCCTCCTTCAAGGCTGGTGCCTCTCACCCCCTCAAGAGGTTTCAGAAAATGCTAGGCCTCATGGCTGCAGCATCTCCAGTGCTACAGTTGGGCCTGCTGCGAATGCGCCCCCTCAGGTTTCATCCTACTCATGGCGTCATGGAAGCCTGATTATCAGGTTAAATCAGGCCTGTGTAACAGGGCCTTACCCTCTGGATGAACACTCAATGGATGGAACAGGAAGTTCCACTGGGAATGGTCAACAGGAGGAAGGTGGTTATGACAGATGCTTCCTACACAGGTTGGGGAGCTCTGTGTAAAGGGAAACCGACGTTCGGCCACTGGTCGATAGCGGAAAGAAGTCTGCACATCAACTGTTTCGAAATGTTGGTGGTATGGCGGGGTTGTCAAACCTTTCTACCAGACCTCAAGGGACATCATTTCTTGGTCTGTTCGGACAGCATGACGGTGGTGTCCTACATAAATCGCCTATCCTCGAAGCGGCTCCTTGTACTAGTAGAGTGCCTCTTGGAATGGGCCCAGCTTAACTTACGTTCGCTGAGAGCAGTACACGTTTCGGGCATATTGAACCGAGGAGCGGATATGTTGTCATGAAGCAAGGTCCCCTCAGAAGAGGGGATGCTTCATCCACAGACAGTTAAAAAAATTTGGGAAGTCTTCGTCAGGGCGGATGTAGACCTCTTCACCTCAGAAGACAATTCTCACTGCCCAATCTATTTTTCCAAGGACAAGGATGCGTTGGCCTACGACTGGCCCAAACTCCTCTACGCTTTTCCCCTGGTTGCCCTGATTCCACAGGTAATCAGGCAGATCAGGGAACAGAAATGCAAAGTGCTCCTGGAGGTCCCGCTCTGGAGAAACCAGCATTGGTTGACAGAGCTATTGCAGCTACTAATAGCAGACCCGTGGCCTAATCTGCTACTAGCGCTAGCATCAGTCAAGCGAGCGGGGGACTTGCAGGCACTTTCTATAAGCCCTAATTGCTTGGAGTTCAGGCCTGGCGACTCCAAGGTCATCCTGAAACCAAGGCATGGCTATGTACCTAAGGTGCTCTCGACTCCATTCAAAGCACAGGTTATCAACCTCTCTGCGCTTCGTCCCTCAGAGGAGGACAAGGAGTTTAATTTATTCTGCCCCGTTAGGGCTCTGAAAGTCTACATCGAGTGTTCCGCCCAGTTTAGGCAGTCGGAACAACTTTTTGTTTGCTTCGGTGGCCGCACTAAAGGACACCAGGTCACGAAGCAGAGACTTTCTAAGTGGATAATTGGTGCTATTTTGCTAGCCTAATCTTCCTTAGGCCTACAATGCCCCGTTGGAGTACGAGCCCACTCAACTAGAGGCACCGCCTCCTTGTGGGCGTGGTCTAGCGGCATGACCATTGCACAAACTTGTGCGGCGGCTGGCTGGGCCTCACCGTCCACTTTTTCTAGGTTCTATAACCTGGATGTCCCTGCCTTGCAGGCAAGGGTTCTTTCTGCTTAACTGACACGCAGTTCGCTCTGAGTGCAGCTTGGATGTAATATGCCCAGACCTTTCAGAGAGATTACTTGTGCGCTCTTGGCCCCCATGGGTGCTGAGGCTGCGCAAGTCTTCTGGAACGATCTATCAGCTGGGTGAGGCCTTCATGAGGCTTAGCCCGTTAGCCTGGAGGGATTTATTGTTCTTGTTCTCTTGGGCCCTGAGGTGCTGAAGACAAGAATTATCATTGTCGTTCCTCTGCCATGGCTAGGTGTGATTGTACTGTTCCCATGGCGTCTAGCAAAGACGCGGTACGAGTGTAGTATCAAAAGGGAACATACTCAGTTACAAACGTAACCTTGGTTCCCTGAGATATGGGAACGAGTACTGCGTTGCTAGCCTTGCCAAGCAGCTGCACGATTCAGTAGTCGCTTCAGTTGAAATAACCTGAATCCTATGGCAAAGTGGCCGCTTATATAGTCAGATGACTCCTCCCATTCTGGCGGGCTTTGGCAAGCGTGGTTGCCACAGGTTTGTGCAGCACCGGTGCCGAGCCATTGGTTTGTTTTTAAAACATACTGCACAAACCAATGGCCGTGCAGTTTCACTGCATGATTTAAAAAGGACTTTTTTCCCATAGCGTCTAGCAAAGACGCAATACTCGTTCCCGTATCTCAGGGAACCAAGGTTACGTTTGTAACAGAGTACGATATCTGAGTCTGATTTTATATACCCTTTTTTGCGTATTGATTACCGCATTTGTATAACCACACACATACCATAGTTAAACTGTTTTTTGTAGCAAAACAATAGTTACTTTGTGGTTATGGAATAACTACAATAACCATGTTTTTAATGGTTTTATTTGTAGTAAAATCATAGTTAATTTTCTAGTTTTATGGCTGGACAATGACAATGATATACTGTTTGAGATCTAGCTATATTGTACTTATATAATAAATTTTATTCCTAAACACTCAAACCATGAAAAAAAAATTTGCAGCAACGATCTGGGCCGACATGTTTATCTCTGGGAACTTCTGGCTGAATCCGAAATTGTCCCCTATTGTGACAGTATGGACCTTGTTTTCTGTGTTTCCTTGTTCTCCCACCTTGCTTTTGTTCATTGACCTAGTTTCTGTCTCCTCTTGATTTCATTAGTTAGTTCACCTGTGTCTTGTTAATTATCCTCATTTGGTCTGTGTACTTTAGTTCCCCATTTAGTTCAGTTCGTTGTCAGCTATTGTAGTTGAGTATGCAGCTTGTGTTTCCCTGTTTGTCTATTAGATCTTCATCATCTTGAATTATTATTAAATGCTTATTGAATCATCTTCGTCTCCATGCGCCTATCTCCCACAGTAGTGTGACACTCATTCACTATTCCTTACATTAGTCCACTAATACAGTTTACTTGAATGAGTGAATGCTGAGGGTGCCGGAAGTACTGCCACATTTGCATAATTTGTGCTTGCTGTTTAATAATCATTTGAAACTTATTAGCAAACTGGCAGCTCCAGTATTAATGAAAGGATTTATCTTGAACTCTGTCTTGGAAACTAGATATAAGCCTTACTTAAACAATTTAATAATAAATTAAAAAGTGCCGTGGACCAGCAGTTTGTAAAATGAATAGATGATTCACGAAATCGTATTCCCAAGCTTATCTCATATTATTTTTGATTAGATGTAAAATCTTCACAGTATCCATGCTTTAACTTCAGTGAAATATGGCATTTGACAAATATTGTTGCTTTTCTTGGCGAAACAGCTCTTATTACAAGACAGAAGTCAAAATTCACTGGAAAGAAATGGCAGAATCAGCAGTGAATCGGTTTGTGGATCAGTTCAGCTGTCCAGTCTGTTTGGATGGACTGAAGGAGCCGGTGACGATTCCCTGTGGACACAGTTACTGTATGAGCTGCATTACTGACTGCTGGGGCCAGAAGGAGCAGGGGCCGCCGTACCGCTGTCCCCAATGCAGAGAGAGCTTCAGTCAGAGACCTCTACTGAAGAAGAACACTCTGATAGCTGAGATGATGGAGACGCTGCAGCAGACAGCCCTACAAACGGCTGCTGTGGACTGTGATGTTTGCACTACAGAGAAGAGCAGAGCTGTAAAGTCCTGTCTGCAGTGCTTGGCCTCCTTCTGTCAAACTCACCTGCAGCCTCACTATCAATCTCCAGCGTTTATGCAGCACAAACTAGTCAAAGCCTCCAGAAACATTCAGGAGAACATCTGCCTCAGTCATGGGAAAATTCTGGAGATATACTGTCAGGACGACTGTCAGAGCATTTGTTGTTTGTGTACTGATAATCATAAAGGACACAGTGTTGTGTCTGTGGATTCAGAATTGACTAGGAAAAAGGTAATATTGACGATAATAAAATATGCATAAAATATTTTAATAATAATTGTTGTTGTTATTTTGTATTATCTTGTTTTTATTTAGACAGTCATTTCAATTCACCTTGTTATGCCCATTTACCAGACTGGAAAGGGGTCTATTATTGTGAATTATTGTTTTATTAATTTTGTATGTTTACATCCTCAGGAAGAGTTAAAGGAGACAAAGGAGTTGTGTCAAAAGCTGATCCAGGAGCGAGAGAGAGGTCAGCGGCAACTCAGTGAAGCTCTGAAGCTTCTTACAGTACGTTTCTTTATGTCTTCTTTAGGTTTAAAGTTTGTTTGATACACAAAGGTAGATAAGTAGACAGTTACCAATGGGTTTTAAGATCCAAAAATGCTATAAAATTAGTGACAGACAGTTCATCATGTTCTTATTGAGACGTCTCATTTTGTAGCCTGACAAACACTTGTTTACTGTCTGTTTACACTGAACAGAAGCAGCTTAATTTGACTGCTCGAACATTTAGAGAACTTACCAAAAATTGCTTACATTAATTGCATTTATTTTGGTTAGTGTGCCAAAACTAGTCACAATAATGATCTGCATGATCACATCTTTCTCCAACAGAGTTCAGCACTAGAGACCATGGATGACTTTGAGAAGGTCTTCACTGAGCTCATCTGCTCTCTTGAGAAGAAACGCTCTGAGATTAAAGAGCAGATCAGAGCTCAGGAGAAGACTGAGATAGATCGAGCAGAGGAACTTCACAGACATCTGGATCAAGAGCTGACAGAACTCAGAAAAAGACAAACCAAGATCGAAAAGCTTATGATTACTGATGATCAGATCCATTATCTGAAGGTAATACAAATAATTTCTAGGGCTGTGCTGGTCAACTTGACACCCACGCCACCACAGTGTCCGAGTGGCACGCCAAAACACTTTTTTTGTATGTGAATGCTGTTGAATATTATGATACAAGTGAAGTACAAAGCTTTCTTTACAAAATAAATAATAGGTTTGCAATTAAATGTTACTTTGCAAACATGGAACATTCTGTATTCTGTTTTGCAATCTGCTTACCTGTTTTTCACAAATGTAACAATTTTCCATGAAATATTACATTGCACATGGAATCTCTTGTTTAAAAAAAAACACTGTAGGACAGTGTCACGCCCATGGCCTGCCCCTTTGTTCCTGTGTTGTGTTTTTCTCCCAATGTGCTCCGTGACCCAGTTTTCCTGGTGTTGATTGTGTTCATTCTGTTCAGGTGTGTCTTAGTAATTATCCTCGTTTAGTCTTGTGTATATAGTGGGTTCTATTCCTTGGTTCCTTTGTCTGGTGTCTATCATCCATCCCTTGTGCTACGTGTGTGTTCCTTCTTGTAAGTCTTGCTGCAATCTCAAGCCCGCCGGCTGCTCTGAAGTCAAGCCTGCCGGCCGTTCCATTGTCAAGTCCGTCGGCCACTCCATCGTCAAGCCCGCCGGCCAATTCCCTCCCAAGCCCTCAGCTGACAGCAGCTGTCTCCTTTGCTCAAAAAAGGAGGATGCGGAGGAAGAGACTGTGGGCTCCAGCCCCTGAGTCCACTCCAGTGTCGGCTCCAGCCCGAGTCCACTCCAGTGTCGGCCTCAGCCCCTGAGTCCGCTCCAGTGTCAGCCCCAGTCCCCGAGTCCTCTCCAGTGTCGGCCCCAGCCCCTGAGTCCGCTCCATTGTCGGCTCCAGCCCCTGAGTCCGCTCCAGTGTTAGCTCCAGCCCCGGAGTCAAAACCAGAGAGAGAGTCTGTTCCCAAGTTAAACCCAGAGAGGGCCCCTGTTCCCAAGTCCAGCCCAGAAAAGACTCCTGTTCCCAAGTCCAGCCCAGAGAGGGCTCCTGTTCGCAAGTCCAGCCCAGAGAGGGCCCCTGTTCCCGAGTCAAGCCCAGGGAGGGCCGCTGCTCCTACATCAGGCCCACTGAGGGCCTCAGAACCTGAAATTTCCGCCAAGGAATTTCCCCCACTCCGCCATGGCCCCCTGAACTGTCTTCTTTGGCAGCGCAAAAGCAAATGCCTTGAAGCAGTGGAAGATAATTTTTTTTTTTTACAACTGTCACTTGCTTAAACTTTGGGAGAAGACTGGAAGATATTAGAAAAGAGATGGCCTCTATCAATGCTCATATCTACGGTTTCCATGCCAGAACTCAAAGACGTACACCACTACTGTTCCAAAAGCACAAGAAAAATCAGCTCCAATTTGCAAGAAGTTTTGGGATTCTGTTCTGTGGAGTGATGAGACAAAACTGGAACTTTTCGGAACTATGAATCAGCGGTATGTCTGGCACTGGAAACCTGCAGCGTGTGGAAAGCAAGATGGATTTAAGTATTAGGAAATCCTAGGAGAAAACATCATGCCGTCTGTGAGGAAGCTGAAGCTTGGGTGTCACTGGACCTTCCAACACAACGATGATCCCAAGCATACTTCAAATTCCACCAAGGCTTGTTTGCAGAATATTCTACACTGACCATCACAGTCACCTGACTTGAGCCTGATAGAAAATCTATAGTGGGATTTGAAGAAGGCGGTTGCAGCACGTTAACCCAAGAATATTACTGAACTGGAGGCCATTGCTCATGAGGAATGGGCAAAAATTCCTATGGAACGCTGCCCGAAGCTGATGTCTGCCTATGCATCTTGTTTGCAGCAGGTCGTAACAGCAAAAGGGTGCTCCACTAACAACTAAAGATGTTTGCCATGAATGTGTTGTATAATTTTGAGACTGCAGAAGTCATTAAAAGTTGCATTTTCAGTTGAATTTGGGGAAACCACTTATAACATTCACTGTGTTGAGCAATTTCAATTACTTTTGTTTAATTTGTTCATTGCAAACAGCTGAAAATCTGTAAATTTTGCCAATAAACCTGATTTGCAATGGGGTTGAATAATTTTGATTGCAACTGTATATCCCCAAACACTGAACCACCGTCACAGCGCTAGTCATTTTATCACTGTATACTACCATGTTTCTGTACTTACTCACTGTTTCACATTTTTCATTGTCTTTTACGTAACAAAAAGTGCTGTATTTTTCTCATTTCAGAGCGGTCAGTCTGCGTGTGCTTTACCCACGTTTGAAAACGTTCCCATGACTCAACACACTCTGTTTTTTAAAGACATTTCAATCTCAATGTTTAAAGAGGTTTTGGAGGATGTCTTTCAACAACAAACAGCAAGAATATCCAGAGAAGGTCTGAATATTTTGATATGTTATATTGCCATTCATACTCTGTACGGTTAAACCAACAAATTAACCGTATGCATGTTTTGTTTTGATTCTTCAGTGTCGAATGTCTATGTTACAAACCCTCCAGAACCAAAAACCCAAAATGATTTTTTGCAGTGTAAGTGTGATCGAGGTTTCTTCAAAGGAAACACTTATTAACCGATACGTATCAGTGGATACAATGTGTTACAGTATGACCATTTTGGAACCAAAGTGTACTTTGTTCAACATTTGTTTTTTGTGCATTTCTCCTCCTCAGATTTCTTTGATCTTCACTTGGATCTGAACACTGCACACAATAACCTCAAACTGTCAGAAGACAACAGGAAAGTATTATCTTCAGATAAAGCTCAGCAATATCCTGATCAACCAGAGCGATTTAATGAGCGTCCCTATATCTTGTCTAGAGACGGTTTGTACGGTCGCTTCTACTGGGAGGTCAAGTGCAGTGGGGATGAATGGGCTGTAGGAGTTTGTTACAGTGGAATTAGACGTAAAGGAAGCACTGTTGACTGTGCACTTGGCTTCAACAAAATGTCATGGAGACTGGGTTATTATCTGCAGAATTTCAGTTTCATTCATGCACAAGAAAAAGTCCCAATCCCTGTTGCCTCTAGAGTAGGAGTGTATCTGGATCACAGAGCAGGAACTCTGTCCTTCTACAGCGTCTCTGACACAATGACTCTCCTTCACAGAGTCCAGACCACTTTCACTGAACCCTTATACCCTGCGTTTAAGGCTGGATGTGGTTCATCTGTCAGGATCATAGAGCTGAAAAAAGACCAAGCATCCACCTTATTTTGCAACGTGGACGAAAGCTGTCTTTATGAACGTGTGAGATTCCTCTTGATTTAACAGAATTGATACCATAAATTAACTGAACTATTCATAAATGCAAGAGGTCATTATGTTCGAGTGTAGCGCAGGGTAAATTTCCACCACTTTTTCCACATTAAATATATTCTTAAAAAAATTATTAAATGGTTATGCTCTCATTAATCATGATTTAATAATAATAAAAAAAATCTATTTTTTAGATTTATTCCATTGGTTTTTGAGGTAAAATTACCTACCTATATATATATATATTAGAAAATTACCTTTTTTTTTTTTTTAGATAACAGTGATTTGAACATTAAAATGGGATTTGTAAACAAATAATTGATTTAGATTTGAATGATGGTTCTTTTCATTTCAAAGTGGAATGTGATTTTTAAGGTAATAAAACCCTTATTAGAATTGGTGCAGAAAACCCTCTGTCCCAATTTTGCGTGTGCTTTTATAATTTAATTTAAAAATTATTAAAATGTATATAATCATAATGCTACATTTCAGACATCTTTATTATTTATCACAAAATGTAGGCCAAATATCAGTTCATAGTCTGTTATTTTTATGACATACCTTTAGCTAAAAATAAGTGTATAGTTTATAGAACTGTACTGTGTGTGTAATTCACATGTATTGCATTGACTGAGATTTTGACATTTAATTTGTCAGTGATTTAACTAAATTGTCAAAATACATAGATTCATACAGAATGTTTAATTCAGCATTTTACATTAAAAAAATATCAAAAGTATTTATCATATTCTGCTGAAACGTCAGCTGTGAACAATTGTGGTCAAGATAATCTGCTTTCATGATTTTCAATCTTGTTTTTTAAGCCTAGAAATAATCTATTTTAAATGTTTTAAGTTTAATAATTACAGTCCAATAATGTTCACCAGTCGATCATATGTAATAAATAAATACATTAAAAATAAACATTACCCTATATTTCGCTCTCTCTCTGTGTGTGTGTTTTATTATTTCTCTCATTTTTGAGACACGCCCATTTTTTTACGCACTGAAAACCAGGAAGTAAAAACCAAGAGAACTGAAACTAACCAAACCTATTTCCTCACAACACTAATAGATCCGGTACACTGTTCTTTTGGGCAAAGCTGTAAAAGCAAATGATATTTGAGGTGTATTTCTCCCGAGGTAAGGACTTCATAATATCCAAAATGCAGCTTTTAAACACAAATCGCATGCAATAATGTATTAGTTCATAAGTGTGTACAGATCGTTTCTACTCCTGCATGTTAACTTGTTCAGAACTGGTGAGACTAAATTTAGTTTTGCACTTCATTGCTAAACGATTATTTTTAGATTGTTATCTAATAAAAACGTAAAGCTTTTGAAACGGATTATTCGATTGTATTATTATACTACAAAGCTATACTTTTTACTCTTTATAATTTCAATAATTCTTTACAGTGCCCCTATTATGGTATTTGAAATGTTTGTAATCTGGTTTTGGGAGTCCCCAACAAGAGGTTTACATGCATGCAATGCAGTGGCATACCGTGGTGTTTCAGTCAGGGCCTTCAGTAAGCAACTGTAAACTACACACCCTTACACATCCATCTTACACATAGCTGTACAATAAGTAATAAGTCGTTTTACACTTATGTTAGTGAACCGGACCCACAGCTTGTAAAGACCCAAACAAAAATGGTAAATGGATTAGCCGAACACAGACAAAGAACTGATAAAGCACTGCAGGTTGTAAGCTACGTATTGCTCCATCCTTTATCATGACTCCAAGTACAACAGACCTTCTGTATTAATCAACACATTTCCAGATAATAGCGGGCCCACAGCTGATTAGCAGAACTATAACATGAGTTAGCCGGAGACTTACAGCTGCACTGAGTGTGTCACAACAACTACATATTTTGCACGCTCGACAGAACATTAAAGCAACAATTATTAATCATACTTACAGGTTGAGTTTCGAAGGAGCAAGCTGGTCCAAACAAACATGGCACTGACTCATCTTTCAAAGACAACCGGTTTACGAATCCAACATTTTACTCGGAGAAGCAGTCGTCAGTGAAATGACGAGAACACAACAAAAAGTTGTGATTATGCTGCTGTAGTATCTTAGTAAAGATGCACTTTAACCACTGATTCTTCACAGCCTCATCCTTTGGAAGTGAAAATAAACCAAATTTACTTTCACAGCACAGAGCACAGCGTCCTCTCGACATTATGTTATCCACACGAACCTGCTACAGCGTTTGAAGGCGGTTCAAGTTTTCGCGGGAGGTCCACGTAGAATGTAGGCGGGCATTACCCTGTTGAAAAAAACAGCATATGCTGGTTAGGTATGTTTTGAAGCTGGGATTTTGGTTTGAGCTGGTTTATGCTGGTCCTTTGCTGGTCGGACCAGCTTAGGACCAGCACATTACCAGCTAAGGACCAGCTTAAACCAGCAAAGGACCAGCATAAACTAGCTCAAACCAACATCCCAGCTTCAAAACATACCTAACCAGCATATGCTGGTCCTTTGCTGGTTTATGCTGGTCTTAAGCTGGTCGGACCAGCACATGACCAGCTAATGACCAGCTTAAACCAGCAAAGGACCAGCATAAACTAGCTCAAACCAACATCCCAGCTTCAAAACATACCTAACCAGCATATGCTGGTCCTTTGCTGGTTTATGCTGGTCTTAAGCTGGTCGGACCAGCACATGACCAGCTAATGACCAGCTTAAACCAGCAAAGGACCAGCATAAACTAGCTCAAACCAACATCCCAGCTTCAAAACATACCTAACCAGCATATGCTGGTCCTTTGCTGGTTTATGCTGGTCTTAAGCTGGTCGGACCAGTATGCCTGGTTTATGCTGGTCTTAGGCTGGTCGGACCAGCACATGACCAGCTAATGACCAGCTTAAACCAGCAAAGGACCAGCATAAACTAGCTCAAACCAACATCCCAGCTTCAAAACATACCTAACCAGCATATGCTGGTCCTTTGCTGGTTTATGCTGGTCTTAAGCTGGTCGGACCAGCACATGACCAGCTAATGACCAGCTTAAACCAGCAAAGGACCAGCATAAACTAGCTCAAACCAACATCCCAGCTTCAAAACATACCTAACCAGCATATGCTGGTCCTTTGCTGGTTTATGCTGGTCTTAAGCTGGTCGGACCAGTTTAGGACTAGCACATCACCAGCTAAGGACCAGCTTAAACCAGCAAAGGACCAGCATAAACTAGCAAAGGACCAGCTCAAACCAGCATCAAAACATACCTAGCCAGCATATGCTTGTTTTTTCAACAGGGTATGCAAATATGAGAATTTGTGACGTGTGAAATTCGTGGAATGGGATTTGAATTATAAAAAAAAAAAAAAAGCAGTTCATTTAAATGAACTGTGCAAATGAAAAAAAAAAATGACTCGTTTCAGTCCACTTTCTTTTTAGAGACAATATTTATTTATGATTCACTTTCAGCTTTACAACTTTGCAGCCTGTTTACATTCACATACAGCTGCATTACTCACTGCACGACATGTAATTTATAAAAATCCATAATAAGGGCACTTTAAAACGGCAAACTTATTTCTATGGTGATCATGTCTGAAAAGACTATTCTGGGCTAAATACGAGTTCTGTTGACGGCACAAGCAAAAGTATTTGCAGCCTGCAGTTGATAAGCAGAGAACCGTTACTTTTTCCCTCAGTCAAAAAAATAGTGATTAACATTGTGATTATTATACTTCTTTTAAAGTATTGTTGGTTAGATACTTGGACTTTGTAAAATAGCATCCATACGTAATTCACTTAAGTGAAAAATAGCATTTGACAAATATTGTTGCTTTTCTAGGCGAAACACCTCTTATTACAAGACAGAAGTCGAAATTCACTGGAAAGAAATGGCAGAATCAGCAGCGAGTCGGTTTGTGGATCAGTTCAGCTGTCCAGTCTGTCTGGATGGACTGAAGGAGCCGGTGACGATTCCCTGTGGACACAGTTACTGTATGAGCTGCATTACTGATTGCTGGGGCCAGAAGGAGCAGGGGCCGCCGTACCGCTGTCCCCAATGCAGAGAGAGCTTCAGTCAGAGACCTCTACTGAAGAAGAACACTCTGATAGCTGAGATGATGGAGACGCTGCAGCAGACGGCCCTACAAACGGCTGCTGTGGACTGTGATGTTTGCACTACAGAGAAGAGCAGAGCTGTAAAGTCCTGTCTGCAGTGCTTGGCCTCCTTCTGTCAAACTCACCTGCAGCTTCACTATCAATCTCCAGCGTTTATGAAGCACAAACTAGTCGATGCCTCCAGAAACATTCAGGAGAACATCTGCCTCAGTCATGGGAAACTTCTGGAGATTTACTGTCAGGACGACTGTCAGAGCATTTGTTGTTTGTGTACTGATAATCATAAAGGACACAGTGTGGTGTCTGTGGATTCAGAATGGACTAGGAAAAAGGTAATATCGACGATAATAAAAAAATTCATTTTTTTATAGCATACATTTATATCAGCTGTGGCTCATCTGTAAGGGCAGGTGGGGCAGAGCGCTACCAAAATATTCATCCAAAACATAGACTTCTATATAAACTCAATCAATAATTGTAAATGTGTTCAAGACTCCAGACTAAGATGACATCTGCTTCGGTCAGATATTAGTCTGCGTCAGGTCAGTAACTAGTTGGCACATCTGTTCTTCCTACGTGGAGTAGCATATCAAAATAATGAATGCATAAATACTTTTGTTTAATCGTGCTCATGCAAATAGCCTTTTTATAGTTCTGTTGTGTTTGTTTTACGTTTGAGAATAGACATGGATTTTTTTCCTCTATGGATTTCCTCCACAATTTGTAATATTCCAAAACAACACTCGGAGACAATAAATACTACATTAAGGCAATTATTTTTCTAAGGTAGCATTTTATGCGGGTGATCGTGACTTATTACATAAAGCCTGTCAGAGCACAGTCTGAATAACGCAGCTGCCAAAAAGTGTTCTGCATGCATTCAGTGATTAGAATATAAAGCTTACAAAATATTTATGATAAACTAGCGCTAAGACCCAGGCTCTGCCCAACCAAAATTTACAGTCAGGAGGTGCTACTGTTTGTAGTCTGTAATTTTGATTACCCTGGTTACATCCCTTTACCAGAGTGGAATGGTGTTTGTCTATTTTTGTCTATTGTTTTATTTTTTATGTTAACATCCTTAGGAAGAGTTAAAGGAGATAAAGGAGACGTGCCAAAAACTGATCCAGGAGCGAGAGAGGGGTCAGCGGGAGCTCAGTGAAGCTCTGAAGCTTCTTCAAGTATGTTTCTTTATGTCTTCTTTAGTTTTAAAGTTTGTTTGACACTCAAAAGTAGATCTTTTAAATTCAATAAAAGTGGACAATGATGACCAATGGGTTTTTAACTCCAAAAATTGATATAAAAAGTGTTTATACATTTCACGATGTTCTTATTGAGACTTCTGTCCATTTTGGAGCTTGACGCCACTAATTTACTGTCTATCTACATTGTTTTGAGTCACAGCGATGACCTGCATGATCAGATCTTTGTGTCTCTGGCAGAGTTCAGCGCTAGAGACCATGGAGAACGTTGAGAAGGTCTTCACTGAGCTCATCTGCTCTCTTGAGAAGAAACGCTCTGAGATTAAAGAGCAGATCAGAGCTCAGGAGAAGACCGAGATAGATCGAGCAGAGGAACTTCACAGACATCTGGATCAAGAGCTGACAGAACTCAGAAAAAGACAAGCTGAGATTGAAAAACTACTGATTACTGAGGATCAGGTCAATTTTCTGAAGGTAATGAAAGTCAGTATACCGCCATGTTTCTATACTGACTCACATTTTAAAATAGTCTCTTTAACATAACAAGCTGTTTGTCTCGTTTCAGAGCTGTCAGTCTGTGTGTGTTTTACCCACATTTGAAAACGTTCCCATTACACAACACACTCATCTGTATTTTAAAGATGTTTCAATCTCGATATTTAAGGAGGTTTTGGAGGACATCTGTCAACAACAAACAGCTAAAATATCACAAGAAGGTCTGAATATTTCGATATATTGTGTTGTCATTCATACTCTGCAGGATTAAAGCAACAGATTAGTCACATGTTTGTTTTGTGTTGTCTCTTCAGTGTCAAAAGTCTGTGTTGCCAAGACCCAAAATGATTTTTTGCAGTGTAAGTTCAACTTGAGGCAAGTTTCCTTGAGGCAAACATTTAATAATTGATAAGTATATGATCTGTTACAGTGTGACCATTTTGAAACCAAAGTGTACTTTGTTCAATATTTGATCTTTTTATGTGTTTTTTTTTTTTTAATTTCTCCTCCTCAGATTTCTGTGAACTTCACCTGGATCCAAACACTACAAACAATGCCCTCAAACTATCTGAGGACAACAGGAAAGTATCATTTACATATAAAAAACAGCATTATCCTGATCACCCAGAGCGATTTGATAGATATGTGAATGTCATGTGTCGAGAGGGTTTGTGTGGTCGCGGTTACTGGGAGGTCGAGTGCAGTGGAAAGCAATGGGCTGTAGCAGTTTGTTACAAAGGAATTGGACGTAAAGGAGACAGTGATGACTGTAGACTTGGTGACAACAAAAAGTCCTGGCGATTCAGCTTCTATCTACAAAATTTCTATTTCACACATGACAAAAAGAAAGTCTCAGTCCCTGCTGTCTGCTCCTCTAGAGTAGGAGTGTATCTGGATCATGGAGCAGGAACTCTGTCCTTCTACAGCGTCTCTGAGAAAATGACTCTTCTTCACAGAGTCCAGACCACTTTCACTGAACCCTTATATCCTGCGTTTTTTGCTGGATATGGCTCATCTGTCAGGATCATAGAAGAGCAGAGTTTAAAAATATAATTCATCAGAAAATATTACATGAAAATGTCATGACTGTATTTGATAGTTAAATTTACACATAAAACATTCATTTAAAGGCACAATGTGTAAGTTTCGCCGCTAGAGGTCGCTTACTCAAAACTAGGGGTGTCCCCGACTACATAGTCGAATCAGAAAAAGTAAAAAAGCCCAAGATGAAGCCCGTGCATGCCTTTAAGGTACGTTCATAATCCTGTTAAACTTTCTTTTGGCTGTTGACGTTAATAACATTTATCAGCATTAATTCATGTTTTAATTATCATATAATGAACTCATTGATGGAAGGCTGCATCCTCCGGATGTCGCATTTGTAGGCTGCATACGTCATAAAGGTCTTATTTTAGAATATTAACAGTTATAAATTTGACCATTATTCTTCGTTAAGCGTAAATTGTTGTAATATGCATATGACTCGCGAATGTACCGCTTAGTTATTCCCATTGAAACATAGCCCGCCTTTTTGGCAGAAGCTATTTACACTAACTTCGCCCACCTACGTGTGATTGGGCTAGTCAACACTACAAAAGACGATTAACAAGCAAAATCTCCAGTGGCGTATATGGTAAAGTGTGTGCCGTAGTCGTTTTGATGCGATTGACCCGAGTTCGAATCTGCCTTTTGTCAAACTTTTTTTTCCTCCTTCTTCAAATCTCATATCACATTGGCATTTATTTTAAGAAAGATGGAGGAAATAATCGAAAAGTTGAAAATAAAGTATCGGGTAGGGTAGGTGTAGGGAGGCCTTTATTGGTCCAATACGGTGGCATCCATTTTTGAATTAAAATTATAATTTACATTTACATTTAGTCATTTAGCAGACACTTTTATCCAAAGCGACTTACAAATGAGGACAATAAAACCAGTCAAAACTAACAAAAGAGCAACAATATATAAGCACACACATATACACACACTCAAAGAAAAACAAGTAGAATAGAAAAATAGAAAGCTAGTGTTTTTTTTGTAAAAAATTATATAAATAGATGAAGTAGAATTAAAATAGAATATAAAGTGCAAGAGTTAGAGAGTCAAATAAAGATGGAACAGATGTGTTTTAGTTGTTTCTTGAAGATGGCTAAGGACTCAGCTGCTCGGATTGAGTTCGGCAGGTCATTACAGCAGGAGGGAACAGTTAATGTAAAAGACTGTGAACGGGATTTTGTGCCTCTTTGAGATGGCACAATAATGCGTCGTTCACTTTCAGAACGCAAGCTTCTAGAGGGCACATAACTCTGAAGTAATGAATTTAGGTAAATGGGTGTAGAACCTAGTGATGTCATGTAGACAGAGAAGAGAAGTGGTCCAAGAACTGAGCCCTGAGGCACCCCAGTAGCTAGATGTTGCGACTTGGACACCTCACCTCTCCAAGATACCTTGAAGGACCTATCTGAGAGGTAAGAATCAAACCACTGGCGTGTGGTTCCTGAGATGCCATTTTCCAATAGGGTTGATAGGAGAATCTGGTGGTTCATCGTATCAAAAGCAGCGGACAGATCCAGCAAGATAAGTTTACATTTACACTCAATACGTTATTACTGCATACTCTTTTATAATACTGCAATACTGAGGTGCAGATAATTGTCACTATTTGCAAAAAGTAGTATAAATAGCAGAATTATCTATTATTAGCTATTTTATCATAGTGTAAATGTAATCTATAGCTATTTGCGCTTGGTGTAAATAGCCTCTATTGCTATTTATACTTAGTCAAATAGCTGCTGCTGTTGATTTTTTATTAAATTTATTATTGTTTATTTTGATATTTAATCTTTTAAAATGTTTTATTTAATGTGTGTAATTTTAGTTTTTTTTTTTTTTTTTAAATAATACAATTTAATAAAAATTTATTTATTTATTTACTTTTATGCTTTATTAAAGTTCTATTTTGACCCCTATAGTAGTTTTTTTTGTTGTTGTTTTATTTTACTTCCATAATATTTGGGAGAGTGGGCACAACAATACAATTTTGCTCAGGGCACCCATTTGGCAGTGGCGGCGCTAGGGCGGGGCTTGATGGGGAGGATTTCCTAATGATTTTCCTGTTTTTTTAACTCCCAGTGTCACTTTAATTAACACTGAAAAATAAACATTAAAAACCTAAAAAAAAAAAGGTGGCTTACATGTGTCCTATAAACAATTGGGGGAGGGGTCAGTATCAACAGCTATCACGATGGAGCGCTATTTAACATCAAGTAAAAGATCACGAATTTCACTTTGCAGACGAGAACAATAACACAAGTCGACAGTCTCAAGCCCTGTTTACACTTGTGCGTTTTCGTTTTAAAACGGAGTTTTCAAATGAAAGCGATCCTCTTCTAGACTTGCGTTTTCACTGCGTTTCAGAAACGTTCTCCGTCCACACTAAACAACAGAAAACACATGTCACATGACCATTCATGCAGGTACAACCATAGACCTATATACGTAGATGCCTCATTAGCGACTAGTTTCTATGGGCCGCTATACGTAAGCTAGGGTGACCATACGTGCCATTTTCCCAGGATGCGTCCTGGCCAGGATTTCTATATTGCCTAAAATATCTAGGTTTTGGCTTTGTTTGCGTGTGCAGACCGATCGGTGTATGACATCAAAATACCTCGAGAACATTTTGAAAGCATAAGGAACCATCTGTATGGTATTTTGATGTCATACACCGATCGGTCTGCACACGCAAACAAAGCCAAAACCTAGATATTTTAGGCAATATAGAAATCCTGGCCAGGACGCGTCCTGGGAAAATGGCATGTATGGTCACCCTATGTAAGCCTTCCGCCATATTGTAGCAGTCAACTTGACGTCATTCACCATAGTAATCACTGAATATTCGAAAGATGCCACAATCCTGCACTGAACGGCTCAACGGCTCTGTGAGAACCTACAGTATGGTAAATGACGTCACGTTGACCCTTCCAAGATGGCGGCCGTATCTACGTGCCTGGAGCTTGCATTTCCGAGGGTCGAAAACGCCAGAGTAGTGTAAACAAAACAGGCAAACGAAAACGCGCTAGTGTAAACGTATCAGAGTCTGATGTTCAGGATGGAGAGGAAGAACTGCTGTCTGTCGTCACAGAGTAGCAACTCTTAAAAAATAGCTTATGTGGAAATATTTTTTTAAATTGTCTGCACTTTATCTATTGTAAAACATTTTTTTTAGAATTTACAATGTTTTCCTGCCAGTTGGCATTGAGAGTGACTGACACTTGATGGTCAAAAAAATGAGTAAATAAATGTGTAAATAAATATAAAATAAAATTTAAATATACTACATCGTAGTTTAAGTAAAATATCACAACATTAACAAGATAACACAAAATTTGCATGTACAGTACACAGTGAAAATGACACAAATATGACATAGTGGCCAACTGGATGTAGCGCAGCATAGTTTAAAATCAGTCTTGTGATCAAGTCAAGTCATCAAGTCTTGTCACGAGGTCTCAAGAACAGAGTAATTTTTTATTAACAATCAAAATAAAACAAAACACTACCCTGAAGGGAAGAACACAGGGTCTAAGAGAAGACAATGATGAATGACAGAGAGCACAGGTAGAATAAGCAGGGAAGGAAATTAGAGGGTAACGGAGGGTAACACAACATAGCCTACAGGAGAACACATGGCACATAAACAAACAACAAAAGCCATGTATTGTTCACACTGAACGGGACGACAAGATCACATGAGCAGGGGTGAAATCAGGTTATGTGACATACCCGGGTATGTTTAAGGGTAATTAAGCGGATAAACTCAGCTTTCGGTTCCAAAAACAGAGGTAACTCTCAGGGTAAGTAGCCATAGCAACTTATTCGCTGAACATAACCTGCTCCAGAGTAGGTTATGTATCAGGGTTAGTTTACTTCAGCGCTATCAGTACGTGATAGCACTGAACTAAACTATACTATATTGTATATGATTACAATATAGTATATAAATAAATATATACTATATAGTTGGATGATATGTTAATTATAAAGCACTATTATAAGTAATATATATATTATATATGGTAATATTATATATTTACAGTAATGCAAATACAGTAATAATGTGTTGTTCAATGTGAGAAAATTTACGCAGTATGTGCACATGTGCAGTAAGCTCTGGTAGGACAATCTGACGGGTAGGATGAAATGTAAGGACACCTGCACAGAAAATCTCTGCGCCTGTACTCTGTGTGTAAACAACTTGCATAGGCCTATAATTGTGTAAATTGCGTAAACTGCATTTTTGTAAATATTCTATATAATGTATTAATGTTTAGTACTGGAATGCCCAGTACCACAACAAATTGCACAACAGTCTGTCGTGCTCACTTGACTAATAAAATGTATTCTGATTCTGAGTGTCCTTCAGTGTCTTTTAAGTACACCAAAATGCCACTTGTAATTCACCCAATATATCCACTAGGTAGTGCTAACACTCTATATAAACTACAAGTTTACACTATGTGTGTTCACAAGTGTCACAAATGCATATTATTGTTTGCATAAAACATTTTTATTTGTAATACTCTGGAAAAGTTACAACAAACAAACTAAGCTGTAAAGTTCAAAAGAAGCTCTGAAGGAGTGTTCTCATTATTTAGTCTTATAAGAGAAGTTGGATCAAATAAGTTAAAGATCATTATCCTTTTTTACTGATGCAGCTTTTGAGTTAGCCACAATTTTCACAATGTTTCCACACAGCATATATAAACTGATCCACATCATGATGAAGGTGAATGTACGACTACAAAACACTCTATGTGCTGTTCAGATGTTCATCACCTGTCGTATCTCAGTCTTTCATCAATGACCTTTATAATCTTCATTCAGGCTGAGAACATTCATATTTATCCATTTGAATATCCAATTTATGTTTGTACTGGCCAGTTTGTACTATTAACTACATACGTTTCTGATTCCACAGAATAAATATGTAAGATTTTTATATCTTATTCTTATCTTGTATCTTATATTTATCTATCTTTGTAATTGATTTATTAGCATATTCAACAGTGATTTTCTGTTGTTAGTCTTTAACTGGTAAAAT